AAGTCTCGAATGTGAAAGTGTTCAGCAGTCTTCTGAGGAGGCTGGGTAATGGTTTTACCCATTTTGTTCTTAAAAGGATTTGTTCTTTGCTGCTCATTTTACCAGGACCAAAATATGCTGGCTCAGAGGTGTTTGTGTGTTAAGAGCAAGCTTTGAATTTGTTTTAATCAACTTTAGTTTATATAGCCACATCCCTGATAAATTAACTTTCATGTTAATGACTGGAATGTTTCCTGGAACCATGAAGCTAGGGAATGTGTAGGTCACTGCACATCTCGTCTTGGGCACCTGCTGGTGAGCGTGGGCTCTGAACTTGTGCTTGGCTGTGCCCTAGACAAAGGGGGCCGGAGGCTCTGAGGGCGACTCTGCATGTTCTGCAAGCAGTCTGGACAGACTGTGCATTTGCAGTTCACGTTTGAAGGAAGCTGCTGGAAGCTGAGACCGGAACCGTTAGCCCTGTGTACCGCAGCCTGTGACCACGGGCTGCTCCCCTTACCAGGGAGGGGTGTGGCGCAGCCTGTGGCGTCCAACTGTTGCTCTGGTTGGTTTCATGGCCACATGGGTTAGAATGCCATGAAGCCATTAGGTTGTCTTTTTTTCCATCGGCCTTCTCACCTGTGAGAGAGGATGTATTGTTGTGACTGCTATGCTGCTGAGGAGAGTGTGCCCATTTGACCCAGGGAGGATGGCTCGTCCCACTTTGGAAGACTGTCTGCTGCATCCTGCTGTCCAGGACGCAGCTGCGGACGCTGCCTCTCAGAGCATGTCATCCAGCCAAACCCCCTGCTGCCTGCTCTCCCTCTGTCTGGCCCTGCTGGACAAGGCTGCTTTGAGAGCCAGGGTTGGGTAGAGGCATACTGAGGGAGAGGTCGCAGTAGAGGAGCCGGAAGCACTGAAATCTTCTCAGGGGAGGGTAAGCTCAAGTTATCCTCACGTTTGTGCAACAGTGATGGTGTCCCACTGGCCTTTTTTTACCCTTGAGAATCTTGAAGATTTTTATTACAGGGAAACAGTTGCTACTGCATTTTAAAAGATGATTCTGGAATGATCTGCTGACAGGTGGAACAGCCAACAAGAAAGAAACTAGAAAAGAAATCTGATTCCTGAAGGCCCAAGAATTCTAGGATGGGCAGGAAGGCAGGAGGTGGCAGCTGGGTTTTTAGGTCACCATGGTCTGCTGGCCAGGACTGATCTTGGGGGGGGGGGCACAAGGAACTGGCTGCACTCCCCAGAGAGGCCGCCCCTGATGACGTTCCATCGAGGCAGCGCTGCTTCTTGCCCTTCGCATGTTCTCTTGCTGGAGGTCGTCATCATCCTTCGGTGTGGTCTTTGGTGCCCTTACTAAAGGTAAATGTTCACTCCCCAGAGAGGCCGCCCCTGATGACGTTCCATCGAGGCAGCGCTGCTTCTTGCCCTTCACATGTTCTCTTGCTGGAGGTCGTCATCATCCTTCGGTGTGGTCTTTGGTGCCCTTACTAAAGGTAAATGTCGAGTGGGGTTTGTGGGTCTTCTTGCTTGAAGGCAGGTGGGAGGTGAGGTCTCTAGCCAGTGCTCTGTTTATATAGAACTTTCTGATTATTTGGGGGCTATTTAAAAATTGGAAAATGGACACTACAGACTGGAGAGCTCGGCATCTCCCTCCTGCTCTGTTGTTTTCCTTAAAAGCATTTCCACTCTCTGGACTGTCTCCCCTGGGCAGGAGCCTCTTACCTCACACTGGGCCACTTACCCCTCCAACACCTCAGTATCCCCTGCACACACATGTGTGTGCACACCTACACCTCCACGTCTCTCACATTCTGCGGGAAAGTCATCTTAAGTTACCTTAGGCAGCAGTGTGGGAGTGGGAGCCCAATTCTGGCCAGACCCTTGGGTGAGTCTTTTTCCAGGAAAATGTCTTCCTGGAACTGCTGGCCTTAAGTCTCAATCCACGCCTTGGGCAGCTCTTCAGATACCCCTAAGGTGAGGCACTGAAGCTTTCATGTTCTTTCCCAGGCCTTGGTGCCTCGTGGTCCAGCCACTTTGAATCCATCTCTGAGGTTCCAGCTGTCCCACAGAGGCATGTTCTCTCAGTAGGGAAGCCCAGGTGAGGTCGGTGCCCAAAGTGAAGGCTTCTCTGCTCCCAGACAGCAGAGTTCCCACCCTTGGGATGCTTACTCTTGGCTAAGGAGCTGGAGCCAGTCAGGGTCCCCTGTGCTGCCAGGCCTACCTGGAGAACCCAAGGCTACACCCACAAAATCATGCGGGTATGAGAAGGTGAGACCCCTGTGGACTCAGAGGTGGGAGTGGGCTGTCAGGAAGGGCTTGTGGCAGGGGCCCCTGAAGCGACCCTTGAAGGTGGCTAGTAGTCCTGTGGTCCAGGTATGGAAAAGAGTGTTCCAGGAGGGGTGTCACTCCCAGAGGTGGGACCCTGGGATGCATCAAATGATCTTTGAGCTGAGGTTGTTTGCTGGAGCACTCCGCCTCACAGCCCTGAACATCCTGGGTTGCCGTTAATAACATCTCATTGCCTTTATACAGCTGTTCTCGTTGTCTGCTTTGTTGTTGTATCTGTCCTAAATATTACTGCCAGCAGGACAGGGATTTATTCCTAACTCTGGATTCCTTTAAATGGATCACTTCTTGAAGATACAAGTGAGGGAGGGGTTGCTATCCAGCCAATTCTGTAGGGCATGGCTTAGTCACTTAGTGTGAATTTAGATCATTGCAAGTGATGCTTTGTATGTGAGCCGACAACCTGGATTGTATTCTTTGTTAATTTCTCTCCATGGTGGCTTCCTTCTCACATTGATGACCTTGGCTTTGCTTTTGGAAGAAATAGCCCCGTGCATTGTAAGTCTTGCTGCTGCTTGGCCTGTACTTAAGCAAGGGGTGGTTGGCATTTTCAGTGTCTTCTCATGTTGCAAAAGCAGTCTGACTTGTCACCTGTTTGTTTTTGCAGAGTAACAGTTACCCCTCAATGAGTGATCCCTACCTGTCCAGCTATTACCCGCCGTCCATTGGATTTCCTTACTCTCTCAATGAGGCACCATGGTCCACTGCAGGGGACCCTCCGATTCCATACCTCACCACCTATGGACAGCTCAGTAATGGGGACCATCATTTTATGCACGATGCTGTTTTTGGGCAGCCTGGTGGTCTGGGGAACAACATCTATCAGCACAGGTTTAATTTTTTCCCTGAAAACCCTGCGTTCTCAGCATGGGGGACAAGTGGATCTCAAGGGCAGCAGACTCAGAATTCAGCGTATGGAAGTAGCTACACTTACCCACCGAGCTCCCTGGGTGGCACCGTGGTTGATGGGCAGACAGGTTTTCACAGCGACACACTCAACAAGGCCCCTGGGATGAACAGCCTGGAGCAGGGCATGGTTGGCCTGAAGATTGGGGATGTTACCACCTCTGCAGTCAAGACGGTGGGCTCTGTTGTCAACAGTGTGGCACTTACTGGTGTCCTCTCTGGCAGTGGTGGGACAAATGTAAATATGCCAGTTTCAAAACCGACCTCATGGGCGGCCATTGCCAGCAAGCCTGCAAAACCACAGCCTAAGATGAAAGCAAAGACTGGGCCTGTGATGGGAGGTGCACTGCCCCCTCCACCAATAAAGCATAACATGGACATTGGCACGTGGGATAACAAAGGACCGGTGCCAAAGGCCCCAGCCCCCCAGCAGACACTGTCCCCTCAGGCTGTCCCCCAGCCCCAGCAGGTGGCTCAGCCTCTTCCAGCTCAGCCTCACCCTTTGGCCCAACCACAATATCAGAGCCCTCAGCAGCCACCCCAAACCCGCTGGGTCGCGCCTCGCAACAGAAACGCAGCATTTGGGCAGACTGGAGGGGCTGGCAGTGATAGTAACTCTCCTGGAAATACCCAGCCTAGTTCTGCCCCAAGTGTAGAATCCCACCCCGTCCTTGAGAAACTGAAGGCTGCTCACAGCTATAATCCTAAAGAGTTTGACTGGAACCTGAAGAGTGGACGTGTGTTCATAATAAAGAGCTACTCTGAGGACGACATCCATCGCTCCATTAAGTACTCCATTTGGTGTAGCACGGAGCATGGCAACAAGCGCTTGGATAGCGCCTTCCGCTCCACGAGCAGCAGGGGGCCTGTCTACCTGCTCTTCAGTGTCAATGGGAGTGGGCACTTCTGTGGGGTGGCGGAGATGAAGTCCCCTGTGGACCATGGCACCAGTGCCGGGGTCTGGTCTCAGGACAAATGGAAGGGGAAGTTTGACGTGCAGTGGATTTTCGTCAAGGATGTGCCCAACAGCCAGCTCCGGCACATCAGACTGGAGAACAACGACAATAAGCCAGTCACGAACTCCCGCGACACACAAGAGGTGCCCTTGGAGAAAGCAAAACAAGCACTGAGGATCATTGCTTCCTACAAACACACCACTTCCATCTTTGATGACTTTTCTCACTACGAGAGGCGCCAGGAGGAGGAGGAGGTGGTGCGCAAGGTGAGTCAGGGTGTCTTGGACACCTGCCGCACAGGCGGCTGTGAGGGACGCACAGGGAGCGAGTGGTGCCGCAGGGCCATGCGGGTCCTTGGCTCAAGCAGGGTCACGAGGTGCGGGCAGCATCTCCTGGGTGCTCTCTGTGAAGGTCACTGGGAGTAACCCATGGTGACATTGATGTGGATGTCACCTAATAACTTTTGATTACTTTTTAGTTTTTTTTTTTTTTTCCTTTTTGTCTTTTTTACTGACTGGCAACGGGATTGCAACCCTCGGTGTTGCGCCCGCGCGGTCTCCACATGGGATCCGAACCCTCGGCGGGAGCGCCGCCACGCTCCCAAGCAGCGCACTCTCCAGTGCGTCACCGGGCCGGCCCTACTTTTTAGTTTTTAAGTAACGTAATAATTGAGACTGCAATGTGCACATTCTGTTGGGATCCGAACCCTCGGCGGGAGCGCCGCTGCGCTCCCAAGCGGCACACTCTCCAGTGCGTCACCGGGCCGGCCCTACTTTTTAGTTTTTAAGTAACGTAATAATTGAGACTGCAATGTGCACATTCTGTTATGAAGAATTTGAGGGTAATTTCCTCTTTTGTGTTCTTTTTTTCTTTCTGAATCATGATCTTTTCTAGAACAGTGCTTCCTAGTCTCTGTCCAGTCAGGAACACTTGTGTTCATGTGCACTGGGGTAGGCAAGTGAGACTGCTTGGGCTACCGGCACTGACCTGGGGGCTTTGGGATCCCACCTGTCTGGGGGGCTCTTGGTTCTCAGGGCACTTGCCCCTCAGCAGTTGTGAGGCTCTGGTCTCTGATCTAGAGGTCGTTCCTTATTTTTCTTTTGAAAACCCAGTATCTTGCAGTTTTTGGAAACTTGCTGTATCCAGGTAGGAAATAAAATGGTGGGTAAGGGGTAGGTTTGGAATTTAGACATTTTATAATAATATGTATATTTAGATATAGCAAAAAACCTTTGGTTGAGTCTCTGCAAGATGGTCCTGGTTTCCTGTTATACCTGCAGTGAGACTCCTAGAGCTGTCACAACACACTGCAGCGAGGGTGTCTGCTCTTCAGAAGAACGGGGCTCAGGTGCCCATACATGGCACCAGAAATGGGAAAGTAAGAACACTAACGTGTTTCATAAAGCTTCCTTTATTTGAGAGAGTTCATCCTGAGATTCTCACCTGCTTTCTTGGTCACCTCTCACAAACCTTTCTTTCATGAAATGTCAGTCGATAATAGATGGGTTTTCAATCTTTTTTCAGTCTTCTGTATTAAGAAAGAAATTACTCACCTGTGAACATCAAATGTTTTGAGCAGAAAAGCATGTAAATGGGGTATATAGTAGTGCTTTGAGCAATCTTTAAAGTTATGCATATTGCAAACAACTCAGGGTTTGCAAAACTTCTGTGTTCGTCTGTCTTTCACTCTTTTATGAGAAAAGAAGGGGATGTTATTTATTTCTAGTTACTGGAATTCTACTGTTTTAGTTCCTGTGGGTGTAAAATGAAATGCTGAGTTGCCAAATATACAGGGATGGAACAGGGATGCTGCTGATGAAATTCGCTCCTTGGCTGGCTTTGAACTGGTAGCTGGCTGTGCGTGTGTGGTTTTTCTTCTTGAGTCTGTAAGACTTGGGTTTTCATAATGTACACTGTCCTGAAAGTTCATTATGAGATAGGAATAAAGTTCTACCCTTGACCTGGTTGGCATTTTTAAATTCTAGTGTCCTAAAACTTGCGTTATAACAAGTGGATTCTTAAGGCAGCTGTAATTTTGTGTCAGGTCTCAAGTTAAGCTTCATGGTGAGCAGCCTGCAGGGCCCATGGGCATCTGCCTGCAGTTGGTGTACACGGTGTTTCCTCGTACTCCTGGGGATTCTCTGAAGGCTGGGCTGTTTGGTGAAGTGTCACAGGAAGGAGCGAGGTCACCTCCCACAAACTGTGGGGGCCGAGCTGGAGAGCTTTTGGTCCATGTGGATTGGTATGACATTAATTTGTATTATTGAAGAAAGTGATACACGAGAACCAAGATATGTTAATGTTCTGGTAGAATTTCAAATATCTTTAAAGATCATTGGGTTGTGTAGAGAAATGGAGGTGGTTCTCGGGGCAGTCACCAGACTGTACATGTGCCCCAGTGCTGTAACTGCTCACCTGGGCACTCGGTCTCTGTTCCTTATGGGCTGGGTTATTATTTCATTCAGGAGTTGGAATCTTAGATGTTTTGGAGTTGAGACTCTGGATTTCTAATGTTTTCTCCCACTGGATTTCCATTGAGTAGTTGGGTGTAGTCTTAAGAATGAGGTGGACCGAAAAGAGAGATGGGAGGCGACTCCTTCTTCCCAGGTGTGATAAACTGTGAGCTTGTTGGTGACACCCCCTGGGTGGTTTTCAGGAGGTTCTCTCAGGACATCTAAGAACATGCCCACCTTTTGTTTATCATTTAGAATTAGACCCCATTGCTTTCAAATGGTCAGAATTTTTTAAGTATCTAGTGTTTAGAAAGTTAAATATAAAATACAAAAGTTAACACTTTGCAGTGTTGCTGTCCAGCTGTAAGTGTGGAAACATACTGATTTGTCAGGAAAGCAGCAGTGTCAGACCTAGTCCTAGATGGAAATGCTTTTTTTTTTTTTTTGAAATCTGTGAACAGTCACTCCTTAGGGAGCTTAAAACAGTGGAAGTTGTGAGTGTTACACACAGTATGTGTCATACTGAGGAAGTCCTCCTCCCGACTGCGCTCTGGCCCTGGCTGCAGGTGTCCCTGATCTGACCCAGCCTAGGGCTCTCTGTATGTAAACACGGCTGAGGACTGTTTGACAACTGGGTGAAGAGGAGAGAATGTTCAGAACAAGCATTTGCTGGAATGTTGTCGAGCATTCCTATGAAGAATGAGTTGTGCTTCCTTTGTCTGCCTTTTTCTTTTTGAGAAATTTTATGAGTAATAGTGTTTGTTCAAAGAGCACGTGGTGAACTTTATAGCTATTTGTAAGGGTTTAAGGGAGACAGGGCGCTGCTAAGTTTCTCTCCTCTGAATGGCTTGTTAAAGGCCTTTGAACTCAAAAGAGATTGGCATCTGAAGAAAATGCAAAATATAGTGTTCTAAATGTTTCCAGTTTTACATTTCAGGGTGGGGAAGAAATGTTAATTCTTAGAGTAGTGGCTGTCTGCTCAGCTCATTAGTCCACACACACTGGAGGCTTCTCAGGACAGGGGCACACAGTCCTTGTGAGGAGCAGCTGAGGTGGAGAAGCCCCGCCCTGGACTATGAGACCACACCAGTGAGGTGTGGGGGACATGTGTTTCATTAACATGGAGACATACTCCATCCGTGGCAAAAGAGGAGGGTTCAGGATGTTACTTAAGTTACACTTGAAGTGTTTGAGTGTTCTGCCAGCAGTTGCTTTACTAGCTTGTGTCTGGTAGAAAAGGGGGCCAGATGAGGACAGATGTGGCAGATTGCATCTTTAACCGAGTGGTGTAGCGGGTGCCCCTTGGATCCGATGTTTCCATATCTAGAGCTGAATTTAGTTGGTGCATCGTAAGGAAAAACTGAGAAGGCTTCTGGACCCTACTGATTAGAAGCCAGGCAGGCAAATGTGAGAAAAGATTTGGATCTAAGCCCCAACTTGTAGCGGGTGCCCCTTGGATCCGATGTTTCCATATCTAGAGCTGAATTTAGTTGGTGCATCATAAGGAAAAACTGAGAAGGCTTCTGGACCCTACTGATTAGAAGCCAGGCAGGCAAATGTGAGAAAAGATTTGTATCTAAGCCCCAACTTGTATGTATACGAGACACACTCTATACGGAAGTAGGAAATAAACCTGCCAGAGGAGTCTTGCTTTGAATAGGTCAGTGCTGCAGGAGGCTATGGCTTTCTGTTTGGTGTCAGAGGGGACATGGGACATGGGGTAGTGGAAAGGGCCTGAAATGGATGGACCCAAGCTCATCCTCCTGCCCTTCATTAGCGAAGTGCTTTGGTGCTCATTCTTCAGCCAGTTGGATGGACCTCGGTGTCGTCTAAGCCACTGGGAGGTGTAAATGAGATAAAATACAAAAGAGCAGGTCCCATATACCCGGCATGCTTGAGTGCCCCGAACATGCTAGTTCCTTCCTCTGGGTGCAGATACTTTCATATTTCTAATATGTTTTTCTGTGTAGAATGACAGTGACATGTGAGAGAAAGCTGGTGATGGGGAAGTAAGATCTCCCAACAAACAGATGACCCACGTGACTATAGTGGTTGATGCTTTTCTGCTGTAGACAAGGATCTTGGGAGGGCATGGTGGTCATCACAGGGTCAGAGCCGTGGGTGCTGGTGTGGCTCGGTTGGCGAGCAGGGCACTGTGTCCACAGCCCAGCCTCGGGCCTCACTGTTGGGCAGCACGGTCGCTCGGTATATTAAGCTCTCTTCCTTTTTCTTTTTCAGGAACGGCAGAATCGAAACAAACAATGAGGAAAAATCAGTTTCTTATATGTTCTAACATTTGACTTTGAAAAACAGTTTAAAAAATGTATGCTTGGTGCTGTCCCCCGGCGTCGGCCCCAGTGTGTTGTCCGTGCAGGGCTGTCCCCTGGCATCAGCCCCAGCGTGTCGTCTATGCAGGGCTTGGGTTGTTGCATCTTTACCTTTTTTGTAGTTTATTTTTGCCCAAATGGATCCACGTTCATTTGTATTTTTTCTATGTATTATGTAATATTGTAGAACTCACTAATAAAGGAATATTCTTTGTCAGCTTATCAATCAGACTGATATAATGTGAAATATATGTATCCTTAAAAACAAACAGAACTAAAAACATACATCCCAAAGGCGGTTTTTTTTAAAAAATTTGGCAGATATTATGTTTTTGTTCTTATACTCGGTCATTTAGTATCTCTGTATGAGACTTTGTATTCTTGCCTCTTTATTGCTTTATAGCAAACACAAGAAACCATGAGTTGTTTTGTCATTTAGAGTGTCCTGTTAAATCTCTTCAAAATACTGAAGTCAAAGGGTTAGCGATTATCTGTTCATCTGGTTTGCCGTTTTTATTAACTGTGTTATCTGTCTAAAGTGCTAATCTGCCCATTTGATTTTTCTACTAGACAGATAAATTTTAAATTTCAAATTTGGTGAAAATGATTTTGTTTTCTTGGAAGATTATCCTTTCAGGATCGGTTGCCTGCACTGAGCGGCTGCTGTGTCCCTCACTTCCCTGCTGTCTAATCCATCTGGATGGTGATGGGGTTCCACATGTGGAGTATTTGGAAGATGTTTTACGTCTGATTCAGTGTTCTGGGATTCTTAGTTGTTTGCAGATCATTTTTAATTTCCCCCTTTTTCTTCACTTGAGAATCCTAGTGCCATCCTAAGTTTTTATACCAATAATGCTGAGCTTTAAGTGTAGGATCTGGTAGTACAGACAGTGTGGTGGGTGACGCTTCCGATTGTAAATTTCACTGTGTGTGTCTAATCTTTTTCTTCCTGTTGAATGGGTAAAAACAAAAAACGAACAAAAAAAACCTTTTAGAAAATGAATTTGCTGTCATGTTTTGTGGAATGAGGGACTGTTGAAGAACTTGCCACCACCTGGAGTTTGAGTTAAAGCATGAAAATGGTGCTCATGCCTGATGCTCTAGCACACCGAACCTGCACGTGCCATTGTAGAGGATCTTCCTGTCTTAGAGAGCAGATACCTTCTGAAAACTATTTACTCCAAAAGACCCTCTGAATCAAAGTTTAAGCTGTATTATTTAGACTTGTATTTAGAACGTGTCACTTTCTCTGAACTGTTACTGCCTGTATGGAGTCATGGACAACATCGGATAACTTTCCTCTAGGAGAATACAAGCCTTAATAAACAACACCTGTTTAGCATGTCTGGGGTCATTTTGTTCTCCCCTACTTTGTGGGTCTAGGAGAATACAAGCCTTAATAAACAACACCTGTTTAGCATGTCTGGGGTCATTTTGTTCTTCTCCCCTACTTTGTGGGCTAATGTTTTTTGTCTGTGTATTTTAGTTGCAGAGCCAGTTAAAGGAGTCACTACCAAAACACCACAGTGTTTCTCAAGGTCTGAGTTTCTCATTTGCTTGTGTCTGGTGGAGGGAGCTGATGGTTTCTCAAGACACTCACTGCACTCATCTCTCATTGTGTTCTGCTAAAAGGATAGAGGAACTTTGTAAAAGATCCATGCATAACTCAGGATTTGTAGTCCCCCCAACATTTCACAAGAATTTGCAGACATTCAGCAAAGTTGGAAGAACTCCATGAGCACCCGTATCCTGCCTCCTGGACCCCAGCACCCTCATCTCTGGTGCTTGCTGTCCCACCACGTGTCCATCCCTCTGTCCATACTTTAACTTCTTTTATTTCTTATGCATTTCAAGTTGCAGACCAGTATACTCCCTCTGAATAATTCAACATGCATGTCAGTGAGTTTAGTATTTGTTTATGGTTTTTCTTTTTGAGGGAAACTTACAATGAAATTCGCAAACCTTAAGTGTACATCTGTAGAGTTTTGACAAGTATGAGATACAGACAAAATAAACATAATATTAGCATCGTCCCAGAAAATTCTCTCATTCCCTTCCACAGGCAGTCACCAGAACGCACAAAAGAACAACACGGGGAAGCTAGTCTCAACTCCTTCAGGCCAGTAAAGGTGAGGTTTCTTCTCCCCACCTGCAGTTCTAAATTGCTTCTGTGATTTTATTTTACGAAGTGCATTTTGAACCTGGAGGGGTGCATTTCCTCGTTTGCTTGCCATTTTCTTCTACGAACGCTATTGTTGGGTTCCTTTAAGGATTAAGTAATGTCTGGATTTTAGAGTGATTGGCTCAGAGATGCCCCCAAAGGTAGTGCGTGTTACAGCAGGCTCAGCACTAGGGGTGGGAGAAGTGGGCAGTGCTGTCTGGCCACTGTGGAGCAGGAGCTGGTGGTAGGGGCTCTGGTGTCTCTAGAATGAACGATGCAGCTTCTAAATGTCCCCTACCCTGAATGCTTCCTCCAAACCCAGGGAGAGATTAGTGGCTCCTCCTACCTTGCACTCCTGGTGTTTAGCCATGTCTGGTCTCCAACCAAGCATGTCAGAGGAGGGGACCCCTGAATTAGAGGGAACTTCAAGTGACTGTAAGCATGTATCATATTTTGCTTTATAAAGGGCTGTAACTTGTTAGTATTTCCCACCCCTTCACCCCCAAAAGCCAACCAAAATAAACCCGTAAAGCACATCATATTAGGATTCTAAAGTTTTATGATGAATTCTAAGCTACTGGGAAAACCTTTAGACAGATGTGCCATTTGAGGTCCCTCTGGCTTTAAAAGTTTCCTTGAAGGGTTTGAGTTGTGGCTGAGCTGCAAGCTGAAGCATCCCCGTGTCTGTCCCATGGGTCACTGACTGGGTTTGCAGGTTGCTTTTCTGCACTGGGTGTTGGCCATTGGGCTAGCTTCCAGCACAGCCCCTGTGCCTTTGGAAGTTCATAAGGGCTTGCGGGGGTGTTTGTGGTTGGCACCCTCCCTCTCTTAGTGTTCAGGCCACCCTGAGTTGAGGAAGGACTGACCACTCAACTGCCAGCGTCTGGGTGGAGCTCAGTCCACTTGTGTGGCATCAGTGCATTCTGAACAGAGATGCATCTCAGTCACTTGGGATCCACGCATCAGCTCTAAGCAGAAACCACAGCCCTTCATATGGGCTTCCAAGGGTTTTGAAGAGGGTCAGGGCCTGCTGATGCCCTATGATGTCCTGTGCAGTGGTGAGGCATGGTGATTGTTGACCCAAACACGAGAGTGCTGCTTCACGTGGGAGATGGTGGATGTGGGTGCTTGGACACAACAGCACTTGCACTGGGTGCAAGTCTTGGTGAACATCTCCAGGGTAGAGGACAGCCCCCCTGTCACCATGGACAGTTCTGGGCTGCTGTGGGCTGGGTAGCCCAGGAAGTGATTTCTGATGTGACTACGGAGGTGGGAGGTGTGCAGAAGTGGTGAGGGCAACCCCTCGGGAGGCTTCATCCCCTATTTGTAGGCCAGAAGCATGTTGCCTCAACCCTGCTTAACTGCCAGGCTTGGAAGAGTGGGGACTTTCTGTGGTTTGGGGAGGGGCCTGCTGAGACCGAGGTCTTGAGCTCAGAGTTGCAAGATCCCCAGAGTTGGCCATGCTGAGGGTCCAGGGTGCAGAGCTGGGCAGCGATGTGCTTCTGGGTGAGAATTGCATGCAGCCAGTGTCCAGCTCATACAGAGGGACACCCAGAGCCAGAATTGTGGCTCCCCCGCCCCACTCTCAGGTTCTGTTTGTTCTTTCCTTGGCAGGAGAAAACCCAAGGCTGCCCCTCTCCGTTTTGGTGCAGTTTGCTCCATGGGCTTGGGCTTGGGTTGGGTTAACAGTGGCCACAGCCATCTCTGTCAGCTGTGGTAAGTTGGCAGGTGTGGCCATTTTTCAGTGAGGGTAAAGGTGTTCAGGAGGGTGGCTTGGTGAGGCCCCAGAGCATCCAGGTCCCTGGATGGGGTTGTAGGGGTGGGGGAGGGCCTCCCTTCTCATCCCTCCCTTACTGTTTTGGGAGGCCTGCTGCACCCTGGGGACTGGTGAAGTACCTGGAGGTTCTGGGACAAGCAGAAGCCTGGGCCTTGGACAGAGGGAGAGAGGTCTGTCTACACCAGCCGTGGGGCGTCCTGGCTCTGGAAAGGAACTTGGTGCAGTGAGTGGGAACCTAGTCCTGGTATCATAGAAGATGCTCCCGCAGATGTGCTCAGAGGAGGTAGGACAGGGTGGGGGCTGGTGCTGGTGAGAAGGGGGAATTCCTGTTCTTCAAACTTTGAATTTGGAAATAATGTCAAATTTACAGAAAAGTTGTGAGAATAAGAACAGTACAGGGAGTGCCTTTACCCAGATGTGCTTATTGTTGGCATTTTGCCATTTCATTGATCATTTGCTCTATGTGTGTTGTATGTATGTGTGTGCATGCATATTGTATATGATTGTGTTGCGTGTATGTATGTGCATGTGTGTATATGTGCATGTAGGTGTGTTTATGTATTGTGTATGTGCTTGTGCGCATGCCTTCTGCATGTATGTATGTGTGTATATGTGTGTGTAGTTGTGTTCATTCACGTGTGCTGTATGTGCTTGTGTAGGTGTGTGTATATATGTGTATGTGTATACTTGTGAGTGTGTAGGCCTGTGTGCATGTGTGCTTGTGTGTATATGTGTATGTAGGTTGTATGTGTGCATCCATGTATGCCTGTCTTGTGTGTGCACCTGTGTCGAGTGTGTGTGCACCCGTGTATGTGCGCATGTGTGTGCGTGTGTATGCCTGTGTAGTGTGAGTGTGTGTGCCCATGTTTGATGCCATTTGAGGTCCACCATGGACATTTAGCCTAGATACTAACATGGGCACAGTATTTCCTGGAAATCCAGGTGTATATTGCATTAGGCACTTCAGCCAGTTTGACTGCTGTCACACATATCTCACATGCCATCTGATTCCAGTTTTGTCAGTTAACAAGACAATGTCCACAGCGTTTGTGGGAGGCAGCAGGGAGGCTTTCTTGGCCCAGCCCCTTGCCCTGTGGAGGAGGTAGGGGATGGGGTGGGTGGGGGTGGCCCTGAGCACTGCTCTGCAGACCTGGTTTTAAGAGTGGGGAACACATTTTGTGTGGGAGCGGAGAAGATAATGCAAACTCCCTGTGCCCTTCTGCTGTTCCCCTCCCCTCACTCTGCTCTGATGTGGCCCCCTCCTCCTCCCTCCACAGGTTTGGCCATCAGTCTGGTGGAGAATTTGGGATCTGAGAGGGAAGAGGGCTGGCCGGGTTGATCCACCCACCCAGTCTGCTGTCTTTGTCCTCCTCTGGGTCCTGCCCCCGTCCCTCCTCCTGTCTTTACCTCCATTTGTCCTAGTGTGACAAAGAGCCCAGATACCGCAAGTTGCAAGATGAGGTGGTGGAGGGCGGGCACCTGGGGTCACTGGGGTTGTGGCAAGGTCCGAGGAGGGGCCATGCCAGTGGGGACCCCTTGTCATTGCTGAGGGGAGCAGTCCCTGACTGGAGGGAGTGTTCAGAGAGAACAGGCCATTCGCGGGAGATGGCAGATCCAACAGTGTCTGGCTTTGCCTGTTTCCTTAGTTGGCTGGGCAGCAGGTATATTTGCATGTGCTGGGAGTGGAGTAAGCTGGGGGGGGGTGGTCGGGGGCATTGGGTGGGATGGCTTTGCTCTGTCCTGGGCATAGGGTGAGCAGTGGAGAGGACAGTGCTCTGTCCACCTGCTGGGCCATGGGGGTGCCTGTATGGAGATCCATTGCTGGGGAAGTGGGGGCGGGGTCTGGCCATGGAGTGGTGGGGGGTGGAAGCAGGGGTTGGGGGTGCATTGGAAATTGCACCCTGGAGCAGGAACACCTGGCAACTGGTCCTGCTGTCCAGCATCGGAGGTCCTGGAGGAGGAGCAAAGGGGGCTTTTCTGGTCTGGCTGGCATTGCTGTCCCAGGCGTGGGAAGCCTAGGGTAGTAGAGTCAATGGAAGGGGAAGTGGGTTTAGTTTCTGCAGGTGCAAAGAAGGGAGTGCTTGCAAGCAGAGATAGGGTCCCAGGGCTGACCAGGCTGGGTGCTGGCAGCAGCGGCATGCCCTGTTCTGCTTCCCTGGGAGGCTGAGGAAGTGGGAGTCCTGGGCACCAGCGTTCCTTCCTACTGGGGGATGTGAACTGAGGGTGGTCTGCTTGTTCTCCTTGAGACTGACATCGAGCTGGGAGAGACCCTTCTGGTGAGGTCCTGAGTGATAGCTGTGGTCAGCTTCCTGCGTGGAAGAGCCCTCCCCACCATGGTGTTGGCGCTGCCATGCTGGGAGGCTGTTCCTCCACACCCTGTACCTGCTGCAGGCAGTAGTTCTGAT